TGGGATATTTTGGTCAGCATTTCTCAATTACGTTTTCTTTCAACACACACACACACACACACACACACAATATACATACACAGAAATAAATCTATATACATTCGTATTCTCTTCTGAACATTTGCTATTGGAACAAAAAATAAGTATGCCATACTTATATACATGGAGAATACGTCATAAAAACCACCAAAAAAACCGATTTTCAAACGTAATAATTTGAATGTCAAAATATTGTAGCTGTAAAAATTTTATTTCGTACAACATTTTAATATCCTGTGAAATATTTTTGGATGGAGATATCTCCTAACCATGTGAGTGCATGCTTTGAACACCAACGTTAGGTTTCATAGAACTATCACCTAACATTGTAACCGTATCACATTCAAATAAAACTAATTACGTACTCGCCGAGGATGACCGATCACAGGTTCAAAATGTAAAATTTGATAAATGTATTTTAAGCCATGTATTAATATTGATTATGCTCATTGGTCGTTCACAAAGGCGTCAACATTTTTAATCACTAATATAATTTTGGACGCCTAGAATATAGAATATAGAAATTATTGGCATTAATTTTGTATCTTATAAATAACGTGCATATTTTTTTGTCATCATATACCTCCTATTATACTATAATAATGGATGTATATTGTATATCATATTTTTTTTGATTAAAGATGGTTCGAAATAGATGAACGAATTATTAAGCGTACCTATATAATATCGATTGAATTAAAATGAAATGTACAGAATAATATTTCGGAAATGAGTAGACATATAAAACCATATGAGAAATCTGCGTGATAGATCGAAAATATTTGACGTATTTGAAAAAATCTATTTTCAATTTAAAATCGTCAAATATATTTGTGGTAAACTCAGTTAGTACATGACATGTACAAATACTCGTCAATACACATCGTAATAAAATGTGATGTGTTAGTGTTTTATCCATCAAAGACTTTGAATATCGCTACATAGTTAATCTAAAAGTTAGTACATAAAAGTATTATAATAAAGGCGCAGTAACTCGGAACCTTCAGATCAGTATAGAGAATTGTTTTCGATTAACTCGCGTCGGTTATTTGACGCGATTGGATTGATAGAAAACAATAACATTTTGAAGTGTTTTTGTATATGCTGTGCAGAATCAGTAAAAAAGACAAATAATACGGTTCGAATGAGACGACAGTAGAAATATTGACGGTGGGGAGTGAGTATACCTCCTTTAAGCAATCTGTAATAATAATAATAATAGAATATATTACGTTATGGTGCGTTGTCACAGTACACAGGTCACCGCATAGACTTAATAACAATTTGTATTATTATTATTATTATTGTTACGTGTATTGTTACACTGCAGCGGACGATCTTCGTCGTCTCCTATATAAGTGTACAATATATTATAGTCTGCTGCACCGAAATGAATATACGAACAAATGCAGTGTTGGGTTTTCTGAGAGTACGACTCCAGCCATCGCCACCCCCCTTGCCAAGGCATTTTCTGTTTACGTTTTGTCGTAATTGAAACGTCTTATGATAAGTTTTCCTCTTGATATCTCGTATTGAAATATATTTTAACGTATACCTAAGTACATAAAATATATATAATGTATAATTTACTTAAACAAATATTCACTATAATACCCGTATCGAGTGTTGAGGCTACTAGCACCCAGAAATTGTTTTTTCTGTCAATACGTATTTGAAGAATTGTATAATAATATATTACATTCTACAAAATATGATTCATATAAATATACTGAGTCAGGTCAAGCACATTTCAATAAATTTTAGTTGCAACGTGTGCCACGACGATGAAAGATATCCCCGTTAACAGTTTATACACAAAATATTGCATTTACATTACATTATGTATAATTGAGATCTATTGATTAATTTATTATTATATTGTCAATAAATATCGTGAATGATACAATTTGATAACCGATCGTTTGATAATATTGAACTATATTTGTAAATTTTTTCTATGCAAACATAATAAAACTGCTGTACAGTTGTAGGTATTAAGTGTACGTAATTAATTATTACTGATAAGTTTCTTATAATGGACATATTAAATTTGAATTCAACGATAAATCCTTGTAATACGAAAAATTATTTTGAACGGAGACAATCTGTCAGCATATATCGTTAAGTTTATTTTTATTAATATTGCTATTATTTAAGTTAAATAAATAGTTAATAGCTTAAAATTAATAAAATTTAAATATTTTAACATTGCATGTGGTAAAATATAATTATGTACATATCGATTTAAAGTTCCAAAAATATATTTAAATTTCAACAAAACAGTTAAAATCGTTATTCATTGTTAAAAAATCCAATTTAGTTGTAAATTAAAAAAGTGTACAAAAATAATTGAAAACTCTTATATTTTTTTAATTTTTTAATTTCAATAAGAACTACTTATGAGGAACCTTGTATTAAAATTCAAGCTTAAGCTATACAAATTAAATATATTTTATATTATAATTAACAAAGAAATGTATATATTTCATGCAAACTTCATATTTTTCATAAAAAATGACTATAGATTTACGTTCATTTTTATTTTTAATCCAATATAAACAACTTACTTATTCTTGTATACATGTTTTGAGTTTCCTGATTAAGAACAATTTTTTGTAGTAACGTTATGAAAAATAGTGAAAATTGAGTTTCAAATTTTATAAACAGTTCAAAAGATTCGATATTTGAAAATCTAATATAAACTTTGATAAAATTAAATTCATCAAAAACTCAGAGAGACTAAACATAAATGACGTTTGGAAGGTCAACCCAATCCGAAAGGAAACCAACACAATTGACTTCTTCAAAAACACAAATTTACAAGATGTATATGAAAATACACACTACTTTACTGTATACATACCTATTTATAAGACTAATTGTTTCATTGTATATACTTCAATTTAATTCTTTTCTTTCCTTTAAGCTAATGCCATAGGATATCAGAAGCAAATATTATTTTCAGATAATAAAATAAAGTATTTTTATTTTTTCTTCTCAATATTTTACTAATTTTTTTTTTTTTTTTGATTTTCTTAATTAGTTAGGAAAAAAAAATGAGTTTTTACTTTTGTCTCTTTAAAGTACTAATTAGATTTACTTACATATCAAATATATCAGTGAAGATATTGAAAAACATTTTTTTACTATAAAAAATGTTTTCATTCATAAAAAAAAAACATACTTTCATTATTGTAAGTTCAATATATTTTTTCTGTTCAGAATATAAAATTAAACATTATATTGTTGTATTTACATACATTTATTTCATAATAATAATATACAATATTTGTTTAAATATACATATTTTATTATGCTCTATAAAGTATAGGTTTTCAATTATACCTACATTTAAAAGACTAATAATTGTGTGCTTGTAATTTAAAAAAAAAATTAAATTATATTTTTTCATAGGAAAAATATATCCTCTAACATATTTATTAGAAGTAAATGTAAATTTTGTATTATTAATATTCATTGAAGTGAATAACATTGATTTCTTTGAGAACGTACGTAATGTAATGTGTACTCACGACCTATCTATTAAATATTCATATTGACGCTTATTATAACTTGCATATATTATAATTTGGACATCCTACTGTCATAATATAATCTAACTGTTCTATTGACAATAAAGAAAATTCAAAAAAAGATCAAACCACTTGTGTTATTAGTTTCCAAATTTCATATCATTAGGATTCGTTTATTAGTAGACGATCCCATACTGTGTAAGTCGAAGTTATTTAATGAAATAATTGAGATAGTATTTTTTAAGATGATATTTGTATCTTTTTTTGTTGAATGTTTTTATGATTGGCCCAATTCATAAAATTACACAAAACTCACTCAATTATATTTCATATATATATTTAAAATAGTGATTACGAGGTACTTATAGAAAACATTCGATTCATTCAAATATTGATCTATCATGTATATACTATAATATATATATAGAGCAGTTTACTAAATATTACGCGTTTTTGAATTTCTAATGAGTTCAGGATTATTTTATGACTATATATTTTGAAATACTTGGAATTTTATTTGATGATTTACAAAGTGTCTTGAAGTAATCCAGTTTTTTTTTTTCAAATTAATATTACTCTTTTCTTCTGTAAATTGTTAAACAGATGATTTATTTTTTGAAAAATGTTAATATTTCTGATTAAAATTTGAATGAGTAATTTCAGGGTTATTAGTATTTATATAAGTATTGATAATAATAGTCATTAATGATGATTTTATTTACAATCTAAAATACATGTACCTAATATTAAAACGAGTACGTTCTTGTTATTTTCTTAGACAATTTTTACAGCTAATACAGTTTTTATTAACGATAATAATGAAGATAATTTTAAAATCAAAATAGCCTTATATAGTCACTAAATCTATATTACCATGACTTATCAGGGATGCTTAGTATATTATAAAACGCACCAATTCGGAAATTATACGTTCGAACTTTTCACATTTCATTTTTCAAGATAAATCTATGTTTTAAATAGAAATAGGTAGTTCTCATTAAAAGAAAAAAAAATAGGAGTTTGTACCATGACAGGATACTCTCCCTTATATGGTAAAATATCTAATCATTTGAAAAAATGATCCAAAAGTATACTTAAAAAATATTTGCATAAATTTGTTATTACCTATAATGGAACAGATTAGTGTAAAGCATGCTCGGCTAATCGTCCTACAGCATACCGTAATATTACGAGTATATTATGACGTATTTTTATAATATAAAGTTATTTACCGAACGATATTTGACAAACGAAATATTATTGTCGTATTATCTTCGTCTCGCGACCGGAAAACTATGCCGTCGATTCGTGCAGTAGTATCGCATCGCCGCCACCGTTGCGCCGCTCCGCCGAGGGGGTAGTAGAGCCCTGTCGCGCCGCCACCGGCACCGTTCGGCAGTGTGGCGCATTTTAGTAGGGCCCCACACTCGGCGTACTCTGTCGCGCACACCGGTCCGCCTCGTATACTCTGTGACTACGCTGTTCCCGCGAACTCGTATTTATCGTCGTACTGACCATACTCAACGACCGTTGATTCGTAAAAATAAAAAACGGGTTAGGTTTTGTACTCGAATTTTTGTTATTTGATTTGTCATCGTTTTTATTTTCATTATTTTTTTTTCGTTTGTTTTAACCTGTTTAAATTCGTGTCATATCGTCCTATAATATAATAACATCATCATCATCACCTAATATATTATAATAATATTAAACATAGAGTTTTGCCTGAAACCGTACGGCTGTGCTGCCGTTGATATCTGAATCGGAATACAGGTAAAAAAAATATTTTAGAATATTTTTGAATTTTTTTTTACATATACCTAATACATAATCTTATTAATTTACTTATAAGGTAACATAAACATGTTATTAAACGTGTAGTAGTGTGTGACACGTAGATACAAGTTTATGACTATTGTTATAATATGGCGCTTAAGCATCGAGAACAATTTGCGAGGCACTGGCTCATCCAAACTTTAAGAATTATTAATTAAAAATACTATTTTTTAATGTTTTCATTATATTTTATGGAGAGGTATATCGTGATTTTCAGAAAAGTGTTTTGCTTGTCAGATTATAATAAGAAATTAAAAATATAGGTTGCAATTTAATAATTAAGTATTAATAGATTTGATTAATCAACAAAAATAAGAACAATTTTAAAGTACTTATTGTGACTTGTATTGCTTAAAAAAAAAAAAAAAAGTACGAACTGAAAATATTAATGATAGTGTTTGTATCTTCCTGTTTTTAATATATTTTATATCATACTATTATTATTATTTGTCAAATAATATAAACTGAAAATATATTAACAACAGTTATTCATTAGACAATATTATGATAAGTTACACGATTCAGAAATTTGTACTTTATGCAGTGAGATCTAGAATTAATTCTAAGTAATATATTGCTATAAGAACCCTTAACACCTTTTGCAATCTGCGGCTATGGCGTGACCGCGAAATACGTTTACTATACTCAAAATTTGATCGTCAAACAAACGCTACGTATTCAACTACTTAAAGAGCTTTTATTTTTTATTTTATCCAAGACAAACACTAAAGGATATTATAGTCTTTAAACGTAGATGCGTATTAAACCCCAAATATTACGCAGATTAGCAAATTGAGCAGAAATAGTAGATTTTAAACGAGAAGGGAGTACGTTGAATGATCAGGTGGCATGTTCGTTTCGTACATTTAATGGAATACACCTGCAGTATGTTAAATTCGTTTCAGTAATTAGCTTTAACGTCTAAAGATGGTTTTTATATATTACCACAGACAGTACACTATCGTGTTATTAATGATCGTATGTTTACATACATAAATGTATGTAATAATGTTAATATTCTTGATTAGTTATAAATAGTAATTGTAAATATTATGTACAATTTTATTTAAGACAATGGGGTTATCTTTAAATTTAAAATTTAAAATTTTACTCATTTTTATAATTTAATTTTATAATTTTTTAGCAGTTTTGCTTATTATTAATATGTGTAACACATTGTCATATTATAATGTGTAATATATAATACGACTAATTTTGACTATTATGTATTCATCCTTTTTTGGCCAAAACATATGTTCCCTTTTTGGCTAGTATGGTTTACTTTAAAATTTGAAATTAAAACATCTCGTCTATCTAGACAACTCGTTTAAGTTAAATTAAATATAATTTAATCTAATAATATGATTTCTAATAATAATAATTACCACATAAAAGAGCAAAAAATAAAAAAAATAAAATAATTTATAGTAAAATAAAGGATTTTTTAATCTTTTTATGAATTTTAAAATTATTTTTCACAATATACGTACGTAATGTATCACTGTGTAAAATTATAATAATTACAACTGGAAACTAATATATATCTTTAAGAGTCAATGCAACTATATCAAATACTTCTCATTTGTCAATGTGTTTTTTTTTTTTTTAGTTAAATCCCATCTTATTTACTTATCAACCAAATATTATATTCTTGTAACGTATACCTAATGGATAAAATTAATCAATATTTTAGTTAATTTTATTTTGGTTCACTACGATATCTAGATAACTGTCTTGATGAACACACATTTAACACAAAGTTGTTAGCAGAACTATATTTCAACATATTACATCCATGTACATAGAACAATGAACGAAACTAATGTATGCAAATATATGGTAACAATTATAAGTTGCCCTCAAGTATATAATTTTAAGTATGTTAAATATTATATTTAGTTCATAATGAGTTAAGTTTTAATTTCCAAACTCTTGATAGTACGTATATTAAACATTACAAAATGATAATATAGGATGATATGAATTCTTTGTATTTAAGTAATTATTGAAATGTTTTTCTCATAAGAATGAATGGCAAAACATTGACAAAAAAAAAATCTTCATACTAACTATGTTATTTGAAATATGATGTAATTTTTATATTAAATAAAAATAATACATTTTATAATATATTATACTGAGAGGATTTGCTCTTATTTGATTTGCTCATCAACCCCTCATCTTCACACAACTTTTTGCCTCTTCGAGGAGATACTTCCACTCCTATGATCTAAGGATCATCAATATAGCATCTTGAAATTTAATAATCTTAAAAATAAAATATGAGGGAGATAAAATAAACAAAACTTTTTTAAATCATAGAGTTTTAACTATTTAAGTATTGATGAAAAATATATTAATATTTTTGTATATAATGGAGAGACGTGTAATAAAGATAATATAAAAACGTATACTCAAAATTAGTTTCAATATTTAAATAATAATTAATAAGAAAAGTTATATGGATGAACAATACTTGCATCTCATGTTTAAATACGATAGTTACTTGGTGCCTAACTTCTAGTACTTATTACTTATGAGAACAGTAATGATATTCAATTTTTATTCTGTGAATTAATATTTTAAAAATTAAACTGTTATCGCTGTAAAAAATCTGTCAGTTAAAAAATTATAATATTATAATAAACAATTTAATAAGAATCAAGTCTGAATTATATTATTATATCTAAAATATCTAGCAATAATAATATTATAGTATTAAAGTTGATCGAATACAATATAAAATACTGTAAATATTTGAAAAAACACAAATTTAAATTTGAATATTTTAAAACTAATATTTAACTAGTATGATAATTTCTTATTAAAAATAATAATAATAATATAAGCTAAATAACGTTGTAATATGTAATTTTATAATAATATTTATACAATTTTTGATCGTTGATCATAATAAAAAAGTATAACAATTTTTATCATATTATAATAAATAAAGTATAGTACGTAATTACATTTAAACAGAATTTTAAAGTGTCGTCTGACGTAGGTACACTAATATTAATAATGAGATATGAATATACGTAAGCTTGGTAAAAACTATTTTATTCGATTCTCAACGAAAAATACCTATAGGTAGTAACATTATTTTGTGTCTTCATTTATATTATAAATATTTTTAGTAGGTGCATACTTCAATTACAAACGATGAAAGATGCAAAAAAAAATTTAATGTAGCTAAAAAACTAAAAAAAAAATGCTTCAATATTTCTATATAAATTTACTTTTATTTTATTAAGAAACAAAACAGTTAAAAATATGGCATATTATATTAATTCCGTATATAATATTACATAGTTTAAGTACGGCGTGTTTGTACGAGTATGGTACAAAATGTTTTTGAAAAATCATGTTTAATACACCATTTTCATTTTAGTCTCCGAACTGTATAAAGGAGCAATTGGTTTTATAACGATTTGCTGTTTTTTTCTTTCAGAAAACACTTTTTGAATACCTAGTTGAAGTTTCGTAAAGCTCTTAGTGTTTACACATATATTGAAATAGAACACAGACGGTACTTTAAATAGGTTGTTTTTTATTTTCCTAGTAATCTTAAAAAACATACACACAGTTTACTAAGGAAAATCAGAAAATAATAATTTATTTTTAGTTGTTTGGGCGCATTTAAGAAAATAGTAACTCAAAATTTACTTCGATCATATTTTATGTCAAATTTATCAACTTCATGCTATTTATTTTTTTTTATTTTTAAAAAATGGGAAAAAAATTTATCTATTGTTCTATATTTTAAAATATTTTTTTATATCTTAAAATTTCTAAAAATAAATATTTAAATTAAAAGATTTTTTTGTTATATTATTATTATAAATTTTTAATTGTTTATAATTATCTAACATTTTTGACAAAAAGTTATTATTAAAAATATTATTAATTACCCAGAAATATTGTTTTATGTAGTTACACAAAAAAATAACTTTTATTTTAAATTAATATATATATTTATTTATTATAAGTAATAAAATACATATGATATGATTGTTTATGATACCTAATTATGAGTTACTCGAGTTAAAATATTGAAACTAAGTAAATTAAATGTTGTTGTTTAATATCAAAGAAGTATTTAGACCATGGACATTTTTTGAAGAAGGAGGAAACAATTGTATAACATACATGTACAATGTACATTTAAACTTTTATATGTTGTAATGATTTTAGGTATATGTATATCAATAAAAATTACTTATATAATTTAAAATTAATTTTACTTGTAAACTTTGATAGCTGAACTAGGTAATTATGCGCTACACAGAATCCTATTAGTTCTTGCTATTTGAAATCTTATACAATTTAAACATATAGAGATTTTTATACAAATAATTAATATTCATAAATTGACTATTTATTTAAATACGATTTAGTATTTATGCTGTAACTCTTTAAGTTATACTACTATTTTTATGATTAATCTGAAAAGCTAAAATATCACAACTGTAAAGAAAAAACAACTCTGAAGAAAGAAAGGGTTTTTCCAGTATGTCTTGTCTCCTTTTCACTTACTGAGTACGCTATTAACATTCAATTTTAATTTACAGTTGTAAAATTTAAAATTATTTTTCAAAAAATAAATAGTAAAATATAAGGCTGTGAAATTTGATCTATTTGTCTAATTTTAATCATACTTATTATAATATTCAAAATTAAAATTAAACTGTGTTAAAAAAAAAAAAAAAAAAATAAATAATTTATTCTGAAATTTCACGAAACACGTATTACAAGATTTACATTTTCTAATAACGTTACATATTTTAGTAAAAGATTAACTATTTTTTTAAAAAGGAAAGAAAATATATGAGTGTAATAATCACAAATAAATCATGGATTTACCATAGGTGTTTCTAAAGAATATAAAGTACGAAAGGAGAAAAATATATTTTTGAAAATATGTCAAATATTTA